GTTGTCATGCTATCAACCACATGGTGCCAAGCCCAGACTCTGTTCCACATGGTGCCACATCCAGACTCTGTACCACATGGTGCCACACCCAGACTCTGTTCCACATGGTGCCACACCCAGACTCTGTACCACATGGTGCCAAGCCCAGACTCTAAAGACACTGATTGTTGCCCATGCTATCTACCACATGGTACCACACCCAGACTCTGTACCACATGGTGCCAAGCCCAGACTCTAAAGACACTGATTGTTGTCCATGCTATCAACCACATGGTGCCAAGCCCAGACTCTAAAGACACTGATTGTTGTCCATGCTATATACCACATGGTGCCAAGCCCAGACTCTGAAGACACTGATTGTTGCCCATGCTATCTACCACATGGTGCCAAGCCCAGACTCTAAAGACACTGATTGTTGCCCATGCTATCTACCACATGGTGCCAAGCACAGACTCTGAAGACACTGATTGTTGTCATGCTATAAATACCATATGGTGCCAAGCCCAGACTCTGTACCAAATGGTGCCAAGCCCAGACTCTTGTTCCACATGGTGCCACACCCAGACTCTGTACCACATGATGCCACACCCAGACTTTGTTCCACATGGTGCCACACCCAGACTCTGTACCACATGGTGCCAAGCCCAGACTCTAAAGACACTGATTGTTGCCCATGCTATCTACCACATGGTGCCAAGCCCAGACTCTAAAGACACTGATTGTTGTCTATGCTATATACTACATGGTGCCAAGCGCAGACTCTGTACCACATGGTGCCAAGCCCAGACTCTAAAGACACTGATTGTTGCCCATGCTATCTACCACATGGTGCCAAGCCCAGATTCTGAAGACACTGATTGTTGCCCATGCTATCTACCACATGGTGCCAAGCCCAGACTCTGTTCCACATGGTGCCACACCCAGACTCTGTACCACATGGTGCCAAGCCCAGACTCTAAAGACACTGATTGTTGCCCATGCTATCTACCACATGGTGCCAAGCCCAGACTCTAAAGACACTGATTGTTGTCTATGCTATATACTACGTGGTGCCAAGCCCAGACTCTGTACCACATGGTGCCAAGCCCAGACTCTAAAGACACTGATTGTTGCCCATGCTATCTACCACATGGTGCCAAGCCCAGATTCTGAAGACACTGATTGTTGCCCATGCTATCTACCACATGGTGCCAAGCCCAGACTCTGTTCCACATGGTGCCACACCCAGACTCTGTACCACATGGTGCCAAGCCCAGACTCTAAAGACACTGATTGTTGCCCATGCTATCTACCACATGGTGCCAAGCCCAGACTCTAAAGACACTGATTGTTGTCTATGCTATATACTACATGGTGCCAAGCCCAGACTCTGTACCACATGGTGCCAAGCCCAGACTCTAAAGACACTGATTGTTGTCTATGCTATATACTACATGGTGCCAAGCGCAGACTCTGTACCACATGGTGCCAAGCCCAGACTCTAAAGACACTGATTGTTGCCCACGCTATCTACCACATGGTGCCAAGCCCAGACTCTGAAGACACTGATTGTTGCCCATGCTATCTACCACATGGTGCCACACCAAGACTCTGTTCCACATGGTGCCATGCCCAGACTCTGAAGACACTGATTCTTACCCATGCTATCTACCACATGGTGCCAAGCCCAGACCCTGAAGACACTGATTGTTGCCCATGCTATCTACCACATGGTGCCAAGCCAAGACTCTGAAGACACTGATTGTTGCCCATGCTATCTACCACATGGTGCCAAGCCAAGACTCTGAAGACACTGATTGTTGCCCATGCTATATACCACATGGTGCCACACCCAGACTCTGAAGACACTGCTTGTTGTCCATGCTATCTACCACATGGTGCCAAGCCCAGACCCTGCCGCCATGTGATAAAGCAGAAAGTTTGCTTGAACATTCACTCACTTGTTCTGCTGCCATTGTATCTCTCTGGAGGATGTGTTGATATGAGTGCATGTTGAGTTGTGCACATCTACAACATTAGTTTTCAATTCAATTACCCAGTTGTAAGTTCACAATGTTCTGGAATAATCAGAAACATTGTGGTCATGCAAGAATAACCATGCTAAGCATTGAAGTCTCAAGAGGATGATTTTGAATAGGTTTCCTCTGCTTTTGTTGGTAACATGTACAGGGTCAAAATGTGAGTGTGCTGACAGTGTTTGCTGAAGTGGTCTTCTGGAAACTTCATGAGTATTGATTTTTTATATTTGTGAACAGCATAACCTTTGAAATAATAAGATTCATGATTTTATGAACTGATATTTATTTCACGAATGAATGTTAATTGTGCTGTGTGTGATTAAAACACAATTATGGTTTACCACTTTAAAGGGAGATTGTCTGTTAGATTGTGAGGAACAGAAGCACCATGTTTGGCACAGAAGCACCATGTTTGGCACAGAAGAACCATGTTTGGCACAGAAGCACCATGTTTGGCACAGAAGAACCATGTTTGGCACAGAAGCACCATGTTTGGCACAGAAGAACCATGTTTGGCACAGAAGCACCATGTTTGGCACAGAAGAACCATGTTTGGCACAGAAGCACCATGTTTGGCACAGAAGCACCATGTTTGGCACAGAAGAACCATGTTTGGCACAGAAGAACCATGTTTGGCACAGAAGAACCATGTTTGGCACAGAAGAACCATGTTTGGCACAGAAGCACCATGTTTGGCACAGAAGAACCATGTTTGGCACAGAAGAACCATGTTTGGCACAGAAGCACCATGTTTGGCACAGAAGAACCATGTTTGGCACAGAAGCACCATGTTTGGCACAGAAGAACCATGTTTGGCTCAGAAGAACCATGTTTGGCATGTGGTCCTGTGTCCAGCGTGCTGGTCACAAAAAAATCCAAGTTAAGCAACATCAGTCGCGGAGTGTAGTCGGATGGTGACGTGTTCGGCAGCTTGGCTCCAGAGAGTTTCTAGGGCTTTAGTCCTGCCCCACACATAAGCACATTAAGCACATGTGGTGTGTCCATGGGCAAGTGACTTTGTTTGAAATGTGCCTGTGTCCACCCTTTGAAAGATGTACTTCTGGGAGGAGTACAGGGTTTCGGTGCTGCCCCACACTGAAGCACTAAACGGACATTTAGTCACAGAAATAAAGTTCTTTTTGTTAAAATCTACATCTACTAAATATAAAAGAAAATCCAAATGGAGCGCAGAACAAATACTTATTTCAGAGCTGAGGCAATCTACACTTGCCAAATCATTTATGACTTGAGTGTCACTCCTGTTTTAATCTATTGAGAGACAGGCTAACTGAAGCACATGTAGCTCATGGTGTTTAAATTAAAAAATTCAGTAAAGAGGGTTTGGGTGATCCTGGCACAGTCAGGCTTGTTAGGCTCATCATCAACTCAGGGCCCTTGTCCCCTCTACACGCAGCCCAGACAGCGAATGGGACTTCTCCCTGGAAGCGCTGCCTAGTCAAACCCACCCAGGACTTTTCGGAGAATGTGAAGACTCCCCAACACTGCAGCCTTCAGCATTACCCAGATTGTCAGAAGGGCTGTATTCCTGGTAGCAAACCCAGGTACTCTCCCAATGTCAGTCAACAGATTGGGAGTACCAAACCTAAGGCACCGAGAACAATAGGGAGTCGAACAACTTGGGACTTGGGATGCAAGCGTGACATTTCGAAAGCGAGGTCGGCATATATGATAATTATTATTATGATTATTATCATTTATTATGATTATTATCATTATTATTTTTGTTGTTGTTGTTACTTAATATGTAAATGTAATGATGTAAGTCATCTGAAAGTTGTATGTGAGGTAAAAATGTTATATTCCTGAAAGCTGATCAAGGACATGATTTTGTAAGAAATTATTGTCAAGATGATCCAGATTTCAACATGTGTTTTCCATGTTAAACATGGCAGGTTGTATTTGTCTGTACTGACTTTTTCGTTTCATCCAAAAATATTTTTACATATTTTTCAGTTTTGATTATTTATTTTACTGACGGAACATCAATTCTATTCCTGTTTTGTGTTATTATATTTAACCTCCACTTCATCACTGATCTGGGGGCATGGATGACCCTGTAATCTGAAGGGCTGCAGTTTGCTGTGACATCCCCCAGGCGTGCCGGCTAGCACCTTCTGGGTTCAAATTCCAGATTGCCTGCAATTATAATCCTGGGTTTGTCAGCGCCACACCCATGCTAGTCAGTTTCACCAAAGCAGTTACTGTCAAGGACCTGCATTATGTCAGGCGTTTCTCTACATTAATGTGACATGATACAATATGACTTCACTAACGTTCACTCACTCACAGACCTGCTCAAGTGAGTCACCTTTTTCACATCTCTTCTGAAACAACCCACTGAGACTGGGATGGAGCAGTATTGATAAATCAAAGATGAAATTTGGTAAAAACATGTTTCTAGAATTCAGATCCGAATCTGAACATGGCCACCACAGCAGCCATATTTGAAATAAACTTAGTCATTTTCAGGTTGTTATGCTGATGTCATAATTGTTTATGTGAATTGATTAATTCATTTAAAATTAGGATGAAGTTGCAGATCAAGAGATGAAACAACTGATAATAAAGTGCATGTGCACCAATACAGTTAATCCTGAAACGTCACTGGGCACATTGTCCTAATGAAAACTGTCAAGCTTCAATAAGCTTGCATCATTTGAAACGTTTCCAGTTGAAGCTAAGGCAGTTTTGATGGCATAAATAACCAACACAGTGTTTTTCTAAGAAAATGCCAATGGGATCAAATTCCAGAAAGACTACCAGGAATCTAAAATCAATTGAGATGTGATTAATCTAACTGGTCCATCTTCAAACTTTTGAACGCATCCAAATAAGTTATTTGGGGGCAGTTGGTGAAAACTTTATGACATTGGGTTGGTAATTATGCATCCTGTCTATGAAATGGAATTCAACTTTGTGTACAAAAAATATTTAATGATCCTCAACTCCAACATGTTTCAGATGTTCGAAGAATTGTGTGTCTCATGGCAACCATGGCAACCAGCAAGAGGGACATTGAAAATACCCACAAGACAGGCAGGTAGGAGTTGAAGGAGAAATTACTGAATGATAAAATTACTGTCTTCGTGTTCTTGAATAACCAAAATATGGAAGGTGTGAAATGTCTTCCACTACATGCATTTCAGCTAACATTCACATAGTTTTAGGGAAGGCAGACCTGACAATTTCAGGTTTGATAAGCCAAGAGAGTGGAAACAATATTGCAACACTGTAGCTTCCTCTTAATATCATACAGTACTGGAGCATTAAGTCTTAAAGGGACATGAAGCACGCTTGCCTTCCAGGTTAGCCTTGCGGTTACAGCGCTCAATCGTCACCCCGAATACACGGGTTCAACTCCCCCATGGGTACAGTGTGTGAGGGGTTGATGGGTTAGCCAAGTGGTTACAGCGTTCAATCATCACCCCGAAGACACGGGTTCAACTCCCCCATGGGTACAGTGTGTGAGGGGTGATGGGTTAGCCAAGTGGTTACAGCGTTCAATCATTACCCCGAAGACACGGGTTCAACTCCCCCATGGGTACAGTGTGTGAGGGGTTGATGGGTTAGCCAAGTGGTTACAGCGTTCAATCATCACCCCGAAGACACGGGTTCAACTCCCCCATGGGTACAGTGTGTGAGGGGTGATGGGTTAGCCAAGTGGTTACAGCGTTCAATCATTACCCCGAAGACACGGGTTCAACTCCCCCATGGGTACAGTGTGTGAGGGGTGATGGGTTAGCCTAGCGGTTACAGCATTCAGTCGTCACCCTGAATACACAGGTTCAACTCCATACATGGGTACAGTGTGTGAGGGGTGATGGGTTAGCCTAGCGGTTACAGCGTTCAGTCGTCACCCTGAATACACAGGTTCAACTCCCCACATGGGTACAATGTGTGAAGCCAATTTGTGTTCTCCTCAGTAATATTGCTAAAAGCAGCATAAAACCGAAACTCGCTCACTCAATTCCCTGATGTAGTACAATGTGTTAGGGTAGCTAGGGTAGCCTAGTGGGTCAAACAGTCGTTCGTCAGTCCAAATTCCTGGGTTCAATTTCCACATGGTCACAATATCTGATGCAAGTTCTTGGGATGACCCTTTTGTATGATTACTGTAAGGTATCGCAGAGCAACTCTTCCTTTGAAGATCCAGGTAAGAATTCGTCTTCAGCAACCTATGCATGTTTGTCGTTGGAGATGATTAAATGATCGGGTGGTCAGGCTCGCTGACTTGGTTGATGCATGTCATCCTCTCCCAATTGCGTAGATTGAATCATATGATGTCAATCACTTGATTGTCTGGTCCAGAGTCAATTATTTACATATTAATTGACCATTATCATACAGCTTGAGTATTGCTGAAGTGTAGTATTAAAAAACAAAAAAACACACTGTACACACACTCACTGCACCCATCTTGAACATGGCGTCAGGATGACAGAGGACCATTACACATTCAGTGGAAACCCAAACCTATTTATTGTCATTTGGCTTTATTGTTGTTGGCCGTGTCAAAGAAAATCAGCATACCAAAACGTTTTTTGACCTTTTTCAGTTAGGTGGGGCCATTAATCAGTAAGGAAGATTGTTAATTTGAATCAAACCACTTTATTTTGAGCGCATGTAATTGAAGTCGTATTTTTCTCAATGGTTAAAAAAAATAGGTATTGTCAGGTATTTGTTGATGGAAGCTGAGCACCAGCTGTGGGAAGGGAGAACTATTGATGTTGAACATTGCCACTGTAAACTGAGGCATGGCATTACCATCATGGATGTTGGCTAACCCTTTGTAATAAATGATGGTGCCTTTATAATTAAGTAGCTATCCGATCATGAATTTAACAAGCTGAATCAATTGTGGACATCTTCGTTCCCGACTCGCAAGATGCATGAAATATTCATTCATTGATTGGAATCAAAGAATAGGTGTAAACATGGTCTGGCATGCTCATTTGGAAAACATGTTTGTAAGTTTTTGGAATGTCTGCAGACTTATCACGACTTTCTCCAGAAGAGGAAGCTATTTTGGTAGCTCGGCATGCTTTCTATATTAACATTGAGCTTGTGCATCCGACTATTACCATGCAGCATTGGTAGCATGAGATGACACAAACAGGGCTGGCAAATTCCAGCCTTATTTTCTCTTCCTGCTTCACATACGCTTTCACTCTCTGTGACAGAAGAATGAAGATGCAACTTGTGCAGTATTTGTTGTGACAGATGCTATCTATTTTGGGCAAGGTAGAAATCTGGATTCCCCTGGCCCCCATCTTGTGTCTGGTGACCTCCATCTTGTGTCTGGTGTCCCCTTGACCTCCATCTTGTGTCTGGTGTCCCCTTGACCTCCATCTTGTGTCTGGTGTCCCCCTGACCCCCATCTTGTGTCTGGTGTCCCCCTGACCCCCATCTTGTGTCTGGTGTCCCCCTGACCCCCATCTTGTGTCTGGTGTCCCCCTGACCCCCTTCTTGTGTCTGGTGTCCCCTTGACCCCCATCTTGTGTCTGGTGTCCTCATGACCCCATCTTGTGTCTGGTGTCCCCCATATTGTGTCTGGTGTCCCCCTGACCCCCATCTTGTGTCTGGTGACCCCCTGACCCCCATCTTGTGTCTGGTGTCCCCCATATTGTGTCTGGTGTCCCCCTGACCCCCTTCTTGTGTCTGGTGTCCCCTTGACCCCCATCTTGTGTCTGGTGTCCTCATGACCCCATCTTGTGTCTGGTGTCCCCCATATTGTGTCTGGTGTCTTCCTGACCCCCATCTTGTGTCTGGTGACCCCCTGACCCCCATCTTGTGTCTGGTGTCCCCCTGACCCCCATCTTGTGTCTGGTGTCCTCCTAGCCCCCATCTTGTGTCTGATGTCCCCCTGACCCCCATCTTGTGTCTGGTGTCCTCCTAGCCCCCATCTTGTGTCTGGTGTCCCCATGGCCCCATCTCGTGTCTGGTGACCCCCATCTTGTGTCTGGTGTCCCCCTGACCCCCATCTTGTGTCTGGTGACACCTTGACCCCATGTTGTATATATATATATGTTGCTGACTGCTGTGAAGATTCGCGTTCATATGCTGTGTAAAGCATCATTGTAAAGATGTGATCATGTCCACTACAGCAGCCAAAAGTCATCGAGTTTAAGAAACATAAACCATACACCTTGTTGCAGATATGCCTCCATGGTGTAGTTTATCATGCTCTTACTATAACAGGTCAGGGCAAAACAATACGTCTTTACACTACACATGGGGATATTGAGATATTAAGACCTTGTGCTTTATTGGAGCTGTGTTTAAATGAAAACTGTAATGACGTAAATTGAAAATCCTCGAACATGGCCAACTGACGGGCTCTTCCATGTAAAGCGGGATAAAGTACAGTCAACACCTTTGATCTTTTAGCAAACTTCTAAGAAAGATGCATAATCCTAACGCCTCCGTGGTGCAGTTACTCTTGGAGAGCAGAGCGGAAGGTCTGACCACAATACCAAAACATGGTGCTGAGCATTAATGGCACCAAAACAAGGACTGGTCAGCTTGGAGTCAGTATAATGTGTCTAAGTGGGATACCATTTTTAAACTGGGGCATGGTATCTCAGTGCTATCTGTAGCACTATAAAACCATCATTAGTCCGGACTAGTACAAGCAGTCACACGCACAAGTGAAATAATCTTGAACAAGACGTTAAGTCCAATTTTTTGGCATATTGTTTACTTCTCCCCCTGAGCCAGATGGTAGACTAAATTGATACTTCAGGCTGGGTGTATGTTTCTGACCAATGGGTCCAATATGTCTTCGAACAACATCATTCTACCTTAAGGGTTTAAAAGAATTGTTTTAAACATGAAATATCTAACTTTTCTGTAACAATATAAGAAAAAACTCTGAATCATTTTCGGATGTTGCAAAAAATAGTTTTGGATGGCACCAGTATATATTCCTGACCAAAGGGGTAATATATTCTTCAAGCATCATAATTGTAACTTACGGGTTTTAAAAGGATTGTTTCAAAAATTTCTTTTCTTGATAAAAAAAATGGAAAATTTTCATGGATGATCCGAAGACTAGTCAAGTGATTGATCAAGTTTGTTGAAATCATCTTTGTCTATTTGCAAGTATTTTTTTTGTATACTGAGGCCAGGGTGATTGCAGCTCTGTGATGGATTACCCTATGTTACTGAGTGACAGTTGTCTGTAACAAAAAGAAAATAACACTAATGTAAAAAGTTCAAAAACATTTTTTTTAGTTTTTTATGTACCAGTAACTATGTACTTTACAGACATGCTGGCAGCATGTGTATATGCTTCTTCAACATTTCATGGACTATCGATGTCCTTGGGGGGAGAATTTGTCATTGTGAGAACTAATATATAATAGTATTCCTTGGCCCATTTGCGAAACCAAAACTGTTTCACTTCATATTTAAACACACTGACAATGTTAACAGAAGTAACATACTCGATATTGTGTTGATGTGTTAAACCTGTCAGACAAGGGATCGTTGGCCGGACAGAAATGTGCGGTGACCTTGGTGACCTTGGTGACCAGTTGTTGGTGCAGATGGTTGATATTATGGTTGCTAATATCTAAAAAAATATGTTTTTATGTATCAAAGTGCCAAAAAAGATGTCTGTAGTTAAAGTTTGTTTGTTTGTTTGTTGTTTAACGCCGCACTCAGCAATATTCCAGCTATATGACAGCGGTCTGTAAATAATCGAGTCTGGACCAGACAATCCAGTGATTGACATCATGAGCATCGATCCGCGCAGTTGGGATGGATGACATGCATCAACCAAGTCAGCAAGCCTGACCACCCGATCCCGTTAGTCGCCTTTTACGACAAGCATAGTCGCCTTTTACGGCAAGCATGGGTTGCTGAAGACCTATTCTACCCCGGAATCTTCACAGGTCCTGTAGTTAAAGACTTACAGTAAACTATGGATATAACGAACTGAAAGGGACCATTAATTTTAGTTTGTTATATCTGTCCTTCGTTACACGCAATTTCACCATGAGATATCTTTTATGAAGTCATGGTACTCAATAAATAACA